TGCGAGAGCGAGAGAGAGAGAGAGAGAGGCAGAGGAAATAAAGGGTGTTCCAACTAAACAAGGCCTATGATGGAAGGGCGCTATGCAACGCGGCTGCATGTCACCTCTCCACCAGTGTCCCTTCTTATATTTTATCCTTTTCTTTATAACCCCTTCTTATATTTTATCCTTTTCTTTATATTTTTCCTTTTATATTTCTTTTTATTTTCTCTTCCCATACATACATACATATATATATACATACATACATACATATATATATATATATATATATGATTTCAACCAAATATGGTCGAGTAGCAATAACTAATGCAAGGTTGTGCCACAGAGATGACTGTCGAGCATGGGAACAATATCCCTCAAGCTCTAACCAAAGTAAAAAGAAAGAAGTACTTTTGATTGCAAATAGGACCGAACAGAAAATTACATGTTGATAACTTGACTTATGCTACTCTTCTTTACCTATACTTAACTACCAATGTCAAATCTTCAGCTGTCATCCATGTCTTTAGTGTCCCAAGGCCAACAGTGTCATCATATTCAATGTGGTGACATATTGGCCTGTTTCTTCAGCCTTTTTTTTATTTTAGTTTAATGCTACTCTTGTTTACAGCAATTTATTGGCATTTCTACATCATCTATTTCCTGTTTCTGCTCACGCTACTGAGTGATGAAAAGTGAACGCTTTGTGGACGTTCATAATAATTAAAAACGGTGTGGTATTGCGGTCTTATCTAATGTAGAATGTCTTTGTTACTGTAGTAGTTATTATGATTATAATTTTTAAAAATTATTTTATAAAAATATTTTTAGGTAAGGTTAATTTGATATTTATATATATTTGATTAAAATTATTATTGAAATTAATATTAAACAAAAAATAGTTTAATATTTGAAATTAAGGTTATAAAATAATTTTAAAAAATATGTATTAATATTGATGGTTTTTAATTTAAATATTATAGATTTAATTACTGTTATTATATCATGAAATAAATAATATTCTATATAAAATATTTTTTATTGTTCTATTAAACAATTTATAATTTTATCATATATGAAATATATCCAACAAGAACTACAGTTTTTTTAGTTTCTTAAGCGTGCAACAACATCAAGTAAAATATAATCATGAATAAAATTACAATTGCGATCAAATTCTATAAATGTTACATCATCAAGCGATCTTTGTCTAGTTCATATAATGTCACTTAGTAATGTTAAACACTAATTTTTTGAGTAAAACACAATTAAATAATAAAAAATATTTTTTATTTTACTGAGTCGAACCCGGTTCAACCTGAACTTTGGATTGGATCCGATCCAGCCGGGACTGGTCCGACCATAACAGTAGAGCAGGCAACACCATGCTATAATGTTCATACTAATTATATTTTTTATTAAATAATGCAATTAACATGAATAATGCACACGAAGTAGCAATTACTTGCTTTTATTTCCTTTCTATTTCAAATAAAAAAATACTACGAGACAAACTATGTTTTTTCTTTTACTAAATAGGTTGTGTTTGCATTTTATTTTAAACAAAACGAAGATAAACTATGTTTTTTCTTTTACCAAATAGGTTGCGTTTGCATTTTATTTTAAATAAAACGCAAGCGCAACCTCCTAAATAAATGTTATCTTAATCTAATCGTGTTTTTTTAAAAATATATAACTATTTTAGTTTTAATTTATTTTTTTATTTTTGGATCCTTTTACTATGTTAGTATTAAAAATAAATTTTAAAAAATAAAAATATATATTATTTTAATATATTCTAAAAAAAATTACTTTGCAAACACACATTTACCTCATTTTCAAATATGTCCTTGCACATCGTTTGACATTGCTGTTTAATCACGTTTTTAAAATCTTTTGAGTGTTTTTAGCTTCAAACTAATTTGTTTAAATTGTTTTAATTTATTAATATTAAAAATAATTTTTTAAAAAAATATTTTATCATATTTACACATAAAAAAAAAAAGCTTTAAACAATAATTTCCATCCCACCTTGTACACAATATTAAAATCAAGTTATTACATTACAGTTACTTTTTGGGAGCCGAGACTATAAAAGGAAAACGAGGGAAATTTGGTGTGGAGGTGCTTTTAGTCGAACGATAATATATGATAATTTATTAAATGGATTTGCTCACACCAAGGACAAGAAGCAAGGAGAGGGGTACATTTGTCAATTCAAAGAAAGTGGGCCCAGGAAATATAACAAGGCCAAAAAGGCAGGGCCGTACATTATTTCTTAAAGTCTGTTCCATATATGCACAAATGATAGTGCTCCCCATGCCAAATAACCCGCATGAAAAAATACTAGCCTAGAGAAAAAAATTTATGACATTTAATTCCAATGAAAAACTCATAACTTGAATTGTGATGTTAAGTCATTTTTATAGAAAAAATAAAAAAAATAAAAAAATCAATCTTTAATAAACTCAATGTTAAAAATTAAAATAAAAAACAAATACTTACCGCGATCTAGGCTAACATTTAGTATATATGACTTGGGTCATAATATTGAGATTAGAACATTGAAAAACATTATAAAATCTAATTTTTAACCAATTCAAATTGAAGGATAAAATTAAAAAATAAAATCAATTTAAAAAAGCTAACTAAATAAAAAAAATTATAAAGAATAAAAATAAAATTTGATATTAAAATAAAATGATGGGGTGAAATTAAAAATAAATAAATTAAAAATATATAAAAATAAATAACAATAAAAATAATAATGATCATATTTGATATAAAAATCAAATAAAACTAAATGTTAAGGAATTGAATTGAAAAAAAAAACAATAAAAAAAAAATTCAAAAGGAATACAACGAATGAAGATTACAATAAAAAATACCGATTTGTCCCTAAATCCACTTAATAATTACAAAAAAAGAAAAGAATTACAAATAAAACCACTATACGCTAGCCTAAGAAAATTAGATTTTAATGGTAATTTAGATATTTAAATTTTCAAATTAAAATAAAATTTTGAGAAATACCATAAAAGCAAGTTACATGAATTTTACTTATAAAGGCTATTTAGTAATTTTAACATACAATACAAATATAATGACCGAGATGTCTCTAGTCAATTTAGTAATGACAAATTAATCCCATAAAAAAATTTGTATTATCCCTTAAAACAAGTTATTTAGTTTTATTTTAGAAGGAAAATTGATCATCTTATTGTGTAAGTCCACAATAAAATGTGAGTGTGTGCATAGTAAAACACTGATAATTTTTAGCTTTTGTTTTAATTTAGGTTTTGTTTGTTTATTAGAAAATATTTTTTCTTTTGAGAAATGGTTTCTATTAAAAATTGATTCTTAGAAAGTGAAAATTTTTATGATATTTGGTAGTGTCATGAAAAATAACTTATTAATTTATATAAATTTATTAAAATAATGAGTACCAAATTTGATAAATGAAAATTTTCAAGAAAGATAAAATTAAAAAAAAATAATTTTCTAAATTTTTTCAAACAAAACATATAGTCTAATTTTTTTCAAATAAAACATATAGCAATGAAAATAATGGAGACAGATATGATAGATAAAAAAGTTAAATAAAAGTAAAATTGAAAAAAATATAATTTCATAAATTATTTCAAATAAAACAAATAACAATAAAAATAGGAACCAAATATGATAAATAAAAAGTTCAATTAAAAAAATAAAAGAAAAACAAATAACAATAAAAAAATAAATATTAGAGTTGATATAAAAATCAAATTTTAAGAAAAGAGACTGAAACAAATTTAAAAAAAATCAAAATAAAATATATAGCAATCAAAATATTGATGAATAAATTTGATATAATTAATAAATAACAAAATATTTTTTAATTTTTTATAATTTTCAAAAAGTTTTTCTACCTAAAATAAAAGTAAAATGCTTTCTTGAAAATGAAGCTAAATTTTGCTTTATCTAAAAGTGTTTTTTATTGATCAACTTTTCTAATAATAAATAAATACCAGAAAGTTTGAAAAATAATTTTTAAAAAATAATTTTCAATAAAATAAGCGGGGCTTTAGCTACTCAAAATTTCAAAAGAAAAAATATTTTCTACACATGGAGTTTTTTTTTTATAAAAGAAAATTTATTTTTTATTAGAAAGATGAGATGTTTTTTTTTTTGGGTATTCCATAGGTTAACTTTAAAATCTCTTGACCTGGCTTTTTATCTATCCCAAGTTTAAAATTAAACTTTATAAGAGTTATTTTAATGCGGTAAAAAATATGATTTGATTTTAAAAAATCAAGATAGTTTTTTATTTTTTAATATTAAAATAATTATATATTGAATTGAGCTGGGTTTTATAACTTGATCCGTCAAATCTATGATCGCGGCTATGAACTTTAATAAGTTTAAGAAATTTTTTTATTTTTTAAAAACTATTTTATACTTAACTATACTATAATAAAAATAAATGTTTATAAAATCAAATACAAAATAGACATAAATTAAATATCAAAATATTTATTTGAGATTGTAATAACTTAATTAAAATAATTTATAAAAACAAATTTAAAATAAAGTTAATATAGAAAATGAAATTGAGAAAAGAATGCTGTAAAAGAAGGGAAAAAAGAAAAGAAAAGAAAAAACGCCACCTCACAGTGATGGATTTTTGGTACGGAGAATAATAGACTTTTGAATACTTTCAATGTATTGTATTATATGTGAAAACCACAATCAAGATAATATGTTTATATGCAAATGTCGTATGTTTAGCCCAATTATAAGCAGGAAAATTCCAATCATTTGGCATGTGATATCAGCGCACAAGTG